GTCTTCCACTACAAAAACAATTACAGAACAAAATCTTGAAGGTGATTACGTACTAAAATTTACCAACATCTACTAAAACGCGGGCAAACACCTAGTTTTTAAATAAAATTTGTATATAAGAGAGTATCTCATTTTTTCCTCAAAAGATTGACACTTATCATTTTATAATTGGTTTTCATTTTTGTTGATAAATCATATTATTTTATAGTTTAGAATGTTTATTAAATAGTTTATATGTTGTTATTTTTTTTTTTCATTTTTTATGAATCTTAAAATAAAATTATCTACATATCAATCTCCATTATGCATAAATATAAATGATGTATTAACATTATTATTAATTGATATTATTTAAGATTATTACAAAATATTAAATTAATATTTTATAAACTATTATTTTATACGAAAATTTTAAAATTAAAATTCTATTTTATAATATTTAATATTGTTTTAATTGATTTTACATAAAAACTAATACAAAATATAAAATTAATATTGTTTTAGTTAATACAATGTTATAATAATTAATAAAAACTGGGATTTTTAAAACTAAAAAAATATATTTTAAAATGTAATATGATATGTTTAAAATATTAATGAAAAATTAACATAAACATTTTAAACTAAAAAATATGTAAAATGTTATTGATGATCTCTCATAGGGTATCTGACTAATGGAGTTGATATTAAGTAGAGATTCTCTCAACTTAAAATATAGTAACTAGGGGTGGCCAAACTGGGTTTTGGATTGGATCTTTTAGATTTTGGATTGAATTTGGGTTATTTAGATTAAGAATTATTGTACCAAATTCAATCTAAACTGAGTTTTTTTTGTTTTTTTGTCAACAGGATAATAATAGATTTGTTTTGTTTGATCTTCCTAAATTTTAAGGTCGGTCCTAATTATACTCAAACCAACCCAAATAAAATTATTTTATCTTAATATAAAACCAAAAAACCAAAATCCAAAGGAAATTGATTACCCTTAAACACCAACAAGAGCCCTTGAC